TCGCCTCTGTAATCAGCCAGGATCTATAAATATAGACGGTTATCAAGGCGGCCTGCCACACTATAATTTGTTCTCCTATTCTTCAGAGGTTCAGTGGGGTGACAAGTGGACCAAAAGCCACATACTTGCAAAGTCACCCTTCCTCTGGAGACCAAGAAACAGTAAATTCTTTTCCTGGGAAACAACTCTATCAAGCAGACATCTGTTACCCTGAGGCAATCAGTATGCCATAACAGTTTAAAAAACAGAGTTTAAATGCTTAAAGAAGAAGAAAACAGTTTGCCTACGTTGCAAAACAGCGTATAAACTGTGCTGGAATTAGCACAAGGGAAACATTTATCTTCTAGATAATCTCAAAACAGGATTTTTTGGGGGGATGGTGTATAATTATGTTTATTGGCATGGAAAGATGCTCATGATATATCGCTAAAGGAAAAAAAATGCTGGTTGCAAACACGAAATCAGACTTTTTAAAGGAGCATCAGTTCCACCGCTCTGGCTAGAATCCAGGCCCCTTTGTGGGTCCTGCAGAAGAAAGGGAAGATGGGCTTGAGACGGTGTGGTGGTAGCCTTCTCCCTAAGAGAGCCACATTTTCCAGATGAAATGGCCAAAAACTCAGCGGACCTGGCCCCGCCTGGTATAGTGAAAGGAGGTGGGCTGAGGTGTCATCCTGGCACCAATGACTCGGTCTCTGTGACTTGTGACAGACTCAGTGACTGGAAACTGGTTCCTCACTGGCCTGGTAGGCGGCACACCTGCTGCACAAGTGTGATTGTATCTGTGATGAGTGAGGCCCAGAATGTGGGAGGCACTCAGGAAGTGGCGGGACCCTCTGGCCCTCTGATCTGTCTTGTTATGACAACGACGTGGGGTGGCTTTTCCCAAGGGGCACCACTGTAGGGCCAGGCTGTGAATGAGATCACTGGAAACGTTAGGTCCTGGCCCTTTCTGTATTCCTGCACTCATCACTCAAGGAACATTTCCAGAGTACCTGCTGTGTGGCTGCAGGCAACGGATCTCGTTCTCAGTCCTTGGGGGTTTGGGTCACAAACTGGCTCTGCCCAGGGACCAGGGAACATTTCAAAGAGGTTTCCTCCCTCCTCGCCCAGCCCAGCCACCAGCCTTTTACAAATACTCTGAATTGTACCCAACTCACCTTGGGAAGTAAAGCAATTTAAAAATCCCCACAGCCTGATGATACAAGACCATTTAAAACTGAAACTGATGCAAGTCCCAGAACCTCCGCAGCCAAAATGAAAGTAAATAATGACAGAATGTGAGTCATGACTGTGCTTGCCTCGTAGTTTGCTAATCTTGTAAACAAAGCGTCCTCCCAGATTCAGAGCTGGGGCCTGGAAGCTGGGTACCGATTAATCAGTCCGGCTTCCATGGAAGGATATGTGTCCTTGTCAGCAGAGCTAGAGGGGGACTTAGCTGACTGACCATCTTGTCTGTGTCTGGAGGGCACCGGAGGTTGAAATTAGAAGCATCCCTAGAAACAAACACTTTCTCATGTTTTTTGAAAGAAACGACCGCTCACCTTGTCCACGTGGAGCTTAACGTCTTGAGATTTAGGAAAAAGTCAGGACAACCTGATTTGGGAGCATAAGAGATGAACACAAACCAGTCATATCTCATGAGCCCACCTTCCAGGGGCTGGTCGTTTTCTTTCAGATTTTAGGGAAGACCCTGTGTCATTGCTTGAAAGAAAAGTTAATAACTCATCCTTTTCTCCATCAACATTCTTACATTTGGGGCCGGGGATTTAGTTCAGTGGTTCTGCTGCCTGCCTCGCAAACGCAAGGACCTGAGTTCGATCCCCGGTACAAAAAAAAAAAATCTTATATTCACTCTTTGGCTAATAATGTAGCAGGTGTTCATTAACTATCTCTTGTGTGAATAAATCAGTGTGCTTGCCTCCAGGCCAGTATTCAGCCCATCCTGGGCTTTTTGCGGTCCATACGGGCAGTAGAAGGACCAAAGAGAGACGCACCGACTCAGTAGACAGACTGGACTTCAGCCTTTCTCTGTACCCGCAAGCACATGCTCCTATTCATCGTGCATTTTGGTGTTCTTACCTCAAATGGTCTCGTCTAAAATTTCTCTGTGTATGAGACAAAGGCAAAGAAGCACCTGGAAAGGTGCTCTGCCATTGTGAGTGATTCCCATCGCACCTCAGAGGGGGATTCTGCTGCGGAGGAGGTGGGACAGTGAGGGACTGTGGGGAGGAAACACCACAGCTTACTCTCAGGAAGCAGAGCGGGACAGCAGGGCAGACCAAGACCGGCAGTGAGCGGCTGCAGTCAGAGGAACAGGTCACCCGCCTCCAAGTGGAGATCCGGGTACAAATTACCAACTAGCAGATAACATCTGCATGGAGTGGCCGTAGTAGTAGGGAATGGAGGGGCCTGTGGGCTACGGGAGATGAAGATGACGCTTAGGCTCTGCTTAAGGCATTGGTCTCATAAGATTTGAAGCATTTGCGCTAGGGCTGGGGCTGTGGCTCTGGGGTAGAACACTTGCCTTAGCATCTTACTCCGATGCTTTGACATCTGGAGCCTTGCTGACCCCAGAGGGGCTGCCCTCCCCAGGCTGGCTCATTCCTGGATGGCAAGCATCTGGAGTGTGCCCTCACACACGAACCAGAGCACCTAAGTGGGGTATAGCTCCTTCACCAGACTCACCTCCTAGCCACTATGTACCGCCCCAGGACACACACAGTGGGGACTCTTTATAGCCCAGGGTCCAGTGAAATCCTGCCAACTATTCCTCAGCCTGCTGACCTTGCTTGCCTTTCTGAAGGAAATCGCAGTAAAGGCCACTGCCCACATCCCCCTTGTTCTGCCTCCTGCGCATCCCCACACGGCCTTGTGTGACACAACGTGCCCTCTCCTCTTAGGAGCTGTGAGTAGCAAACCATGTGGTGGAATTATCCCCAACCTTCTGGCTCTGCTGGACTTAAAGAATAAAAAGACCTACAATTTTAAAACACCTATAAATTCCACTGGAGCACGAACCACGTTACACACACACACACACACACACACACACACACACACACACCTCACACAACTAGCACTTTGCAGGCAAAATTTAAACACTAATAAATGAGTGGATGAATAAGTGAACAGATGGGCAGACATATAAATGTCAATAAGGACGGGGTAGCAGCATTTATTGGGCTGCATGATCTCCTACACCTCAGCCTCACTTTTGCAGCTTCAGAGAACTTAATTCTGTATATGCCTCTGAGCAGCAGTTGGCATGGATGCAGGTGGTTGGTGGGAGCAAGCTGGGCAGGGGGTGTCATCCTTCGGTAAGGCGCTCTTCTGTTTCCTTCATTTGGGGCAGTATAAAGAGATTGTTATCCAGAAAGTTCTCTGAAGCCAGTGGTGAAAGGGCAAAAGTCAGAGGGAAGCCTCCAGCTCCCCCAGTCTCTTCCCAGGACAGGCTCTCAAAAGGGAGCTGGCCCGCTGCCCACAATTCCTGCAGCTACATCCTTGCACACTTCCAGCCAAACAAGTGAAAGTTGAACTAGAAAGCCATGTTGCATTATCATCTTTACTCCTGAAAATGCATCAATCTATTCTTCTGGGCAAGGACCATATTTCTCTGCTCACAGAGCCCTGGGGTGTCGTTGTCCGCAACATCACCGGCTCACTCCTGGGTCCTAGGGGTTGGTGTGGAGCAGACAGATGCAGAAGGCCTGGCTGGGATGCACCTGTGAGAGCAGAAGAGCGCCTGCATTTGCTGTTCCTGACTGCTGCTCTTCGGGATACTGAGTTTGCAGCAGTGAATGGCTCGCCCAAGGCCATCCCTTCCCCAGGCCCAAGATGAAAGGACAGGCAGCACTGGCCACAGCAACCAGGCCAGGGAACAGGGACACCCAAGAGGTCTCACAGGAGATCATGAACAGAGTGACTACGCAAACTGGTTTAACCAGAACAGGGCCAGTTTTTGGTTTACAAGTATTACCCCAATATCATTATTGGGATCCCCCCCTCACTCTTTTGAGATGAGGTCTCACTGCATATTCCAGGTTGGTCTTGAGCTCATTATGTATGCCAGGCTGGCCTCGAACTCACAGCGATCCTCCTGCCTCAGCCTCCCGAGTGCTGTGATTACAGGCAGGCACCACCATGCCTGGCCTTCCCCTTCGCTCTCGGAAGGTCTGGGTCTGATTGATAAATTACAGAGACACTCAATGTCATGGAACTTTGCAAATGGGAAAGCCTGAGTCTGGAGGCTCACGAGCAACAGGGGCTTTGTTGCTGTTTGGACAAATTGGTTTAAGGCGTAGCAAACATGCTGGGAATATCCGCCAGCAGCACCCAGATCTATGGATGGTGGGGGCAGCAGCTGAAGGGGTCTGAGCCTGACCTGGGCTCCTGGTGGGCTCTGCTCTAAAAGGGGAGTTAGGCTGGTCTGGCTGGAACCACAGGGCTGAGCATGCTCTGTTAGCAGCCGCTCCATGAGCAAGGACAAAGGATTATGATTTCCCCCAGACGGGCCGGGGGAGAGGCTGAAAAGCCCCACCAACTCCCTCTTGAGCACACACCTCATGCCACAGCCCCATTGGACACCACCTGGAGCCGCCTCGGACACCTGGAGCTGTGCCCCATTATCTTTTCTCCTTCCTGGTTGAGATCTTGTTTTGGGGAAGATCAGCTATTCATCTGCCCAGTATGAAATGTCATGGATTGTGGGGTAAAAGTAGGACCCCACACACACATACTAAAGAATAAGCCGCTGATGATCCTCACACTTCAACACTCCAAATCTTAAGCAGGTGTCAGTGATTCATTTTCTTTTTCCAGCACTGAACTTGCTCTCGATAAATATTTAAGCCAAAAGGCAGACTGTAAGACAATAACCTCCCGCAGCTGGAGTTGTCAGATCAGCTCATGCTTGAGTTCATTTGCCAAAAGAACTTGGGGAACACACACACACACACACACACACACACGTACACACACATTCACCTTCACCAGAGAGCCAGAGCCAAGACATATAAGGTGTATGTGGCTGTTATGTTTCACCTTGTGGCTTCACATGAAGTTTAATCAAGCTGGAAAATGCTCCCAGTGTCCAATGTTGAAGGAATCTCTGTTCTATGAGTTGAAATTTCAAAGCTATTTTTTTTTTAACGTAAGATTAGTCATCATGCAAAACTTATTGGTCAAGCAGTTAATAAAATACACATATCCCACTGAAGGGTTTTGTACATTTCGATCTTTGCACATTACAAAGCAATGACAATCCTGCACAGTCCTGAGAATAAATCCCTTTGCTCTGTGAAGGCAGCAGTCCCGGCATTTGAGGGATCATGTGTTATAAATTCTGGAAGCTCGTTTAGCTGAAGTTTGAGCATCAGGTGGCTCCTCCTCCTCCTCAGTTCGCTTGTGTTTTAAAAACAAGTCAGACTTTAAGAAGCGGCTGTAGCTGTCATACTTCATGAGATTGAAGATCTAAGGAGAAAAGAAAAAGAATCTGAAGGCTTCAGTTACTCAGGTCATGAATCACCCTATCACATATCTGTTAAATATCTACCATGTGCCGAAGAATACAAATAATGTACAAAAACACACAAAGAAAGCTAAAGTAAGGCATGCTCTAGACAAGGCCAATTTCCTGAATGCTTCTGTCACTATGTAACAACCTCAATGGAATATACAGCTTAGACAGTTACACAAACATATCTTTACTTTCCACAGAAGTATAGATTCATGCAGCACTGACTCACACCCTTGTAGCAAGAGCTCCTTTAAAATCTCTGCTGTATTTGGGTGGATTATGCAGGGATGCAGCTCTCTACTCAAAGTAACAAAACAGAAACCATTTACCAGCAGAGGCAGGGAGTTTAAAAAGTCACTTTTTAATCATCAGATGATCCCAGTGGGGCATCTCTAGGAAGAAATGATTCTAAGAGATTCTAAGTCATGCAGTGGCCGAGGAGGCCCCTAACCACACCTAAGTCCTCAGGATTGGAGGGCAGCCACCTGCTGGCACAGGAGGGCCTCCTAAAGCTGTTCCCAGGTACCATGTCTCTTTGTGCCCACCCAATCCTGTACCACCATCCTCCTGCCTCACCCTACAGCATAAGCAGGGAAAAGAGAAGCAAAAAAAGGAATGCATTTCCTTGCTGCCTGGGAAATAATCCCTTTGTGAGAAATTCCTCACCTGCCATCCCTCTCTCTGACTCTCCCGCCTTCAGGACACTCTGCAGGCTGAAGGGCCACACAGGAACCAGGTGCCTTCCCTTGTGGCACAAACACAGGCTCAACCGAGTGGAAAATTCAACAGGTGCCCAGAATGTCAAGTGGGTGGCAAAATCCTGACATCTTTTAAACCCATCCTCTCCCAGCACACACATATACTATTTTGTAAATTAAACATCCGATGGCTTCTAGGGCCTCAGAACATCTGCTTGGGGGATGGGAAGGGCCTCGGGAAATAACTGGAACTCTTACCCTGTACACCTTCATTTTCCCAGGGTAATTGTAACTGCAAGAGAATCAAACCCGGGCCGGGGATTTAGCTCAGTGGTTCTGGCACCTGCCTCTCAAGCACAAGGACCCAAGTTTGATCCCCAATACCAAAAAAAAAAAAAAAAGAGAGAGAAAGAGAGAACCAAACCCTAAATCATTTTGCTCTAAGCACTGCCCAGACCCAGGAGAGCTTTAGGATGTCTGGGTTTATTAGTGCCTGCCTTTCTTTTCCCTGCTGTCCTTCCACACTTGCCCAAGCTCTCTTGGGCAGTCATATATATTTGCAGCAATCTTATAACCCAAGATGTGATTATAATTTGTTGAGATTTGGGGAAATTGTATAATTGAACAAAAATACAGCCAGGCATGGTGGCACACCTGAAATC